CCATTTGAGATGGGTTTGAGAAATGGGCTAGATTTATAGCTTAAAGGATTTCATCCCCCAACTTTTGATTTCTTCAATTGAGTCCTTTCTTTTTTTCTCCTCCCACTTTTTTTCACGAAATTTCCTTTTGCTTGCAAACCTAACAATGAAAGTAAAAACCAAACATATTAATTAAGATAAAAACTAAAATAAAAATAAAAATTTTAATTTAAAAATTTTGAGTTATGATAGTTGTCCCACTTTTTTTTCTTTCTGTTAAGAATGAAAAGAAAAAATAAGAATAACTCAAAATTTTCTTAACAACTGAACAACCAAATAGGTAAAGTAAAAAAAAGTTAAGAAATCGCAACGATTTGATGACCAAATGATTTGATATTGAACAGTTTTTAACCGTAACGGTCTGATGACCGACTGAGTTGAGTAGTTACGGTCAAACAACCAAGCAAGATGGGTAGCTATGACCAAACGACCAACCAGGTTGGGTAGCTATGGTTTTTTTTTTTTTTACCGAGCAAGAAATGATTTTCTTAATTGAGTAAGAAACGATTTTTTAACCAAGCAAGAAATGATTTTTTAACCGAGCAAGAAATGATTTTTTAACCGAGCAAAAAATGGTTTTTTAACCGAGCAAGAAATGGTTTTTTTTAACCGAGCAAGAAATGGTTTTTTTTAACCGAGCAAGAAATGGTTTTTTACCCAAACAAGAAACTATTTTTTTAACCGAGCAAGAAATGGTTTTTAAACCGAACAAGAAATGGTTTTTTAACCGAGCAAGAAACGGTTTTTTAACTGAGCAAGAAATGGTTTTTAACCAAACAAGAAATGGTTTTTAACCAAGCAAGTAATGGTTTTTTTAATCGAGCAAGAAATGGTCTTTTAACCGAGTAAGAAATGGTTTTTTAACCGAGTAAGAAATGGTTTTTTAACCGAATTAGAAATGGTTTTTTAACCAAGTAAGAAACGATTTTTTAACTGAACTAGAAATGGTTTTTTAACCGAACTAGAAATGGTTTTTTAACCAAACTAGAAATGGTTTTTTAACTGAGCAAGAAATGGTTTTTTAACCAAGCAAGAAATGGTTTTTTAACCAAGCAATAAACGGTTTTTTAGCCGCAATGATTAGATGACCGAATGAGTTGATGTTGAATGGTTTTTTAACCACAACAATGAGTTAAGATAGCTATGGTCAAACGACCGAGCGAGATGGGTAGTTACGATTTTTTAACCGAGCAAGCTGAGTGACTATGGTTTTTTAACCGAGCAAGAAATGGTTTTTTAACTAAGTAAGAAACAGTTTTTTAACTAAACAAGAAATGGTTTTTTAACCAAATAGGAAACGGTTTTTAACGGAGCAAGAAATGGTTTTTTTAATAAAGCAGGAAATAGTTTTTTAACTGAGTAAGAAATGGTTTTTTAATCAAGTAAGAAATAGTTTTTTAACCGCAACGGTCAGATGACCGAATGAGTTAATATTGAATGGTTTAAGGGGTGGATAAAAGCAATGTTTGAAAAATGTGGTACCAATGAAACAAATGTAAATGAGACAATTTTCACATATAATATAAGGTGAAAATGAAAAGAGGTTAAGAAACTTCCCTAAACATGTTGGAAGTCCATATTTGGCGAGAGTAAAATGTGCCTTATGTTGTGCATTCATCAACTTGTGATCATCTCTATGTAACAGCTCAGTAGATTTATATTCATGAATACTCTATTGAATGATAAAGGTAGAATCTTATTTGTTTCCCATGAGGAGATATTTGACAATATTGCCCCAATAAGTTGAACTTTCATTTGCTATTGGAGTTTCAACTAGCATAGATGACTCCTTAGCTATCGAATTTAGCTTCCTTTCTCCCTGTAATTCTCATCCAACCTTTCAAATTCATCAAGAGATTTTGATTAGATAAACCATTGTATTGACTAAAATAGAGCCTCATGTTCAACTAGCATTCCCAATACTGAATAAAAGGTAAGGGTGGTGTAAAATGCGAACAGAATGATTGCAAAGATTTATTTCATTAGATTCAAGTAAGGTCAGGATGGTCAAAAGGTCCACTTCAAATAGTGACAAAAAGAAGTCCAGCCAATAATACAAGATTTTGATGCAACTGGTTACAAGATATTTAGACCATAAATCATTGCTTTAGAACATCTTTTCTTTACACTTCTACCCCTCAGTCCTTTAGTCCATGAGAGGGAGTCTCATTCCTTTTCTGAATATTGACACTTCAAATCTTTCCCCTTTTCATGAACTAACTCTCATGCTTAGAATAAGGAAGTTTCCAACTATCACTGCCTGAAGCCTTGTTGTTTCTTCTTTCTTTCTTTCTTTCTCCTTTTTTTTTTCTTTTTATCCCTTAACAGAGAAAGCTGTAAACCCTTAGATAAAGACTTTTGTACGGGCTTGTAAAGTGGCTTGGGGTTAGGTTATGACGAAGGAAAGGATAAAGGCTTAAAATCCATATATTCCCCTCACATTTCTCTCTTCACTTCCTAGGTCATTAATGTGGGTTAATAGAAAGAAAATCATTCTGGATTTTGTAAATCTGAATGATTACCCTTTCTGGCTCAAAAGGAAGGTAAGCAAAAGGGCAATGTCTAACTGTTTGGGGTAGAGAAACAGGGCCTTTCATCACTGGATTTTCATCTTTCCAAGTCAATGAAACATTTAATTTGTTAGGCCGCTCTGTCGAGTTTTCAACCTAACTTTTTTTTCTACTCTTTTTTTTTTCTTTTGCAATAATACTTTTTGACAACATCGGCATTCACTTGGTGATGATAATTAGTTCCGTCTGGATATCTCAACAAGAGTGCTCCTCCGAAGAAGGCTTATTTAACAACATAAGGCCCTTCATAGTTTGGTGTGAATTTGCCCCTAGGGTCCCTTTCATTTGGCATGATCTTTCTTAAGACAAGATCTCCTTGATGAAATACTCTAGGTTTGACTTTCTTGTTGTAAGCTATTGCCATTCGTCACTAATAGTATTGACCATGACAAAGAGCTGCCAATCTCTTCTCATCAAGCAAGTTGAGGTAATTTATCCTTTTCTAAATCAAGTCTTCTTCCTCAATCCCCGACTCAGATAAAATTCTCATGGAAGGCATTTCTAGCTCAATTGGTAGTAGTGTCTCCATTCCATATACCAAGGAATAAGGGGTTGCCCTAGTTGAAGTGCGAACAGAGGTTATATAAGCATGGAGAGCATATGGCAACATTTCATGCCAATCTTTATAGGTAACTGTCATTTTGGCTAGAATCTTCTTAATATTCTTGTTGGCAGCTTCCACCGCACCATTCGTCTTTGGTCGGTATGGAGAAGAGTTCAAATGCTTGATCTTGAATTGCTTGCATAGTGCAGTCATCATGTCATTGTTCAAATTGCTTGCATTATCAATAATGATGGTCTTTGGTTGCCCATATCTATAGATGATCTCTCTCTTGATGAAGCGAGTGACCACCTTTTTTGTAACACTAGCATAAGATGTTGTTTTTACCCATTTGGTAAAATAATCAATAGCTCCAATCACATCGATGCACCACATGGGGAATGGCCAAGGAGTAGACATATTATGTAGTAATGAAAGCAGAGCATTAATATGATCAGCATAAATCTAACATATGTGACAAGCTCGTGCATACTTGATGTAGTCATGTTCCATAGTCAACCAATAATACGCAGCTCTGAGGATCTTTCTAGCAAGCATTCTTCCATTGGCATGTGTTCCACATATCCTTTCATGTACCTCAGTCATGACTTGTTTTGCTTCTATTTCATCAACACATCTCAACAATGTCATATCAGCAGAGCGCTTATACAATGTATTTCCGCTCAAGAAGTATGAAGCTGCTAATTTTTCTATTGTCTTCTTGTTCACCTTAGAAACATGAAGAGGATATTCCCCGTTTTGCAAGAACTATTTAATATCATGAAACCATGGTTTGTCATCAACCTTGATTTCCATGCAATGTGCTAGTTCTTGACTAATTTCAATCATTAAAGGCTTGATTACATCATCACTGGAGATTTGGATCATGAAGGCTAAAGTTGCCAAAGCATCGGCGAATTGGTTCTTGGCGCGGGGCATGTGGTGACATGTGGTTTAAAGAGATGAATCTGAGTTTTTTGCTTAGAGTTTCAAGGTATTGGGGATAAGAAATAAGTTTTGGATCCTTGGTTTCCCAATCACCATTTGTTTGACATATGATTAGTGCTGAATCACCATATATCTCCAAATCTCGAACATTCATATCCAAAGCAACATATATTCTTGCAACACAAGCTTCATATTCGGCTATGTTGTTGGTACAAGCAAAATCAAGCTTTATAGCAATAGGAAAATGATCACCCTTTGGGGATACCAACACGGTTCCAAGGCCACAACCAAGCTGGTTAACAACTCTATCAAAGAAGAACTTCCAATTATCTGAATCAGATTCTGCCTTCACTGCCAAAATGTCCTCATCAGGAAAATCCCAATTAATAGGCTCATAATCCTCTACCGCATGTTCGGCTAAATGATCAGCAATGGCTTGTCCTTTGATGGATTTTTGTGTTGTGTAAACAATATCAAATTCGGAAAGCAACATATGCCACTGAGAGATCCTTCCAGAAAGGGTAGGTTTTTCAAAAATGAATTTTATGGGATCTATTCTTGAAAGTAGGTAAGTGGTGTTGGTTAACATGTAGTGGCGAAGTTTCTTGGATGTCCAAGCTAAGGCACAACAAGTTTTTTCTAAGGGTGAGTATTTACTCTCACAATCATTGAACTTCTGGCTCACATAATAGATGGCTCTTTTTTTCCTACCTGAGTCGTCATGTTGGACAAGGACGACTCCCATGGATTCTTCAAAGACAGTGATATATGGGATGAAAGGCTTTTATCTGTTGGTGGCACAAGGATTGGTGGGTTTTTGAGGTATTCTTTGATTTTGCCAAAGGTTTGTTGGCATTGGTCATTCCAGGCATGAGGATTCTCTTTTCTGAGGAGTTTGAAGATAGGCTCACAAATGGTGGCGAGGTTGGCAATGAAACGAGCAATGTAATTAATTCTTCCCAAGAAACTTTGGACTTCTTTTTGGGTTTTTGGTGGTGGCATTTCATCAATGGCTTTTATTTTGGTTAGGTCAATCTCTATTCCTCGACGGCTCACAATAAAGTCAAGTAGCTTTCCGGAATCCACATCAAAACTAGATTTGGCGGGATTGAGTCTCAATTGGTATTTTTTAAGGCATTCAAACACCTTCTTGAGATTTTCTGTATGTAGCACCTCTTCTTTGGACATAATCACCATGTCATCAACATATAGCTCAACAATGGTGTGCACAAAGTCATGTAGTAAAGTAATCACAGAGCGTTGGTATGTTGCCTCAGCATTTTTGAGTTCAAAAGGCATAACTTTGTAGCAAAAGGTACCCCTTTGAGTGATGAATGTTGTTTTGAGCTTATCCTCCTCCTTCATTTTTATCTAATTGTACCCAGAGTAGCCATCAACAAAAGAAAACCGAGCATTTTTGGCAGCATTATCTAGCAGAATTTGGATGTGAGGCAATGGGAAATCATTCTTGGGGCTTGCTTTGTTCAAGTCTCTATAATCCACATGGACTTTAACTCGGCCATCCTTTTTCATTACAGGAACAATATTGGCCACCCATTCCGGGTACATAGCTACTTTAATGAAATTGACATCTAGCAGCTTTTGTACTTCTTCTTTAACTTTCAATAGAACCTCTGGCTTCATCCTCCTTAGCTTTTGCTTGACTGGCTTGCCCCAGAATAAAGTGGAATGGCTGGAATGGCATGAACAGCAATATCTAGATCAAGTCCCGGCATGTCTTTGTAGGACCAAGCAAAAACATCTTGAAATTCAGATAAGAGCTCTATCAACTCTTTTCTTTCCTATGTGGATAGGTGGACATTGACTTTTATCTCCTTTCTATCATCTTTAGTACCCAGATTAATGGTCTCAGTCTCTTGATTTGGCTACAGCTTTGGTTTTTCTTCTCTTAGCATTTGAGTTAGTTCATGAAAAGGAGCAACATTTTCATTGTCTTCTTCATTATAGGTCTGATCATCAATCTCATATATAAAGTCTGATATGGCATCATTATTTAAAGATTTGTCATTAGCAGGCTTGAAAATTATGGATGGAAGTAAATAAATGGCCAAATAATAATAAAGCAAAGATAAGAACATGTTACTGGACAACCTCATGAACTATATCATTAAAGAGTGGCTTGTACAATGAAAGTCCAACTAAAGTTGCATCATGGTGATTTTTATAATGATAGGTAGGATTGCAATATGTTTCATTGAAAAGGAAAGCATGGGAACACTAGGAACATGATAACATAAATTTTAGAAAATATAAAAGTACTTGCTGAATCCCTCCCTTCATGTAGTCACAAGCAGAACTACTAGAGGCTAACTCTTCTTACTCAAAGATAAAAGCTGCAGGGAGAAGTTCCGCTGTCTAATTAGCCTGAGAGCTTCCATTAACCAAAGAAATTCCCTTATCAAATTCAAGTTTTTCCTCATCTAGAGCATTTATAGTCAAATTTCCCCACGAGTCACATAGCGATTCTTCTCTATAAATGCCTTTTCAGCGAGCATCCTGCTCCACCTCTCCTTAGGATTTGTCATGTTGGCTGGCCTAAAGAGGTTGTTGAAACCAAAACTGTTTTCCTCATCATCAGAACAGACTTCATTAGTGATATCTTTCACAACCACCATCTCGAATTATGCTTGTTTCGAACATTCCCCAATTTCAAGCAACCTGTTAATGAACACAGTACCCTCCGGATCAACATATAAAACATCCATATGCTTCACCATATATCCATCAAGAGAAGGGCACAAAATCTCAACAAGTCGTGGAAATGTGACTATCGTGCGGCCCACACATTGGTTCATCCCTTGTATCTCTCCCTTGAAGTCTAGCAAGGCGCTTCTTCACTTTAATAACACACATTCTCTACCAATCTTCCTTCTTCGGCTTGTATCCCAAGCCAAAAGTGCCCCAAGCTGAAATTACTTCAATAGGCTTAAGAATTCCTTGTCCATTCAACCCTAAACCCTTTCCCAACTAGTACTAACATGAAAGCATGGTTTTAGCAGCAACCCTAGTAGGTTTAGCCATTTTAGCCCATTTCCGTATGAACTTTGGATGTATATAAAAAGCAACAACATACTTCATTGAGTGATAAAAGGATTCATAAGTTCCAGGATCAATTCCCAAGGAATGGTTGTAGCCTTTCGGATGACATGTTCTTCCTCGCCATTCACCGTGACAAGAACACCATTGACAATGTATTTGACTTTCTGATGCAAGGTGAATGGTGCTACTCTGGCAACATGTATCCAAGGTCTCCCAAGAAGCATATTAAAAGCAGGAGAATTGTCCATAACAAAGAAATCCACATCAAAAGTCACAGGATCAATTTCCACTGGAAGCTCAATCTTTCCAACCACATTCCTCTTTGTTCCATCAAAAGCATGAACCACTGTATTGCACTGATTAACGTGAGACTCATCCACTTTCAACTATTTCAAAACAGTCATAGGAATAACATTCAAAGCTAACCCATTGTCGACCAACACATGAGGCACATTCATCGTTTTACATTGGACTGAAATAGAGCTTTAGTATGTCCATATCCTTTGTCGAAAATCTCATCATCAGTGAAATGAATATAATTTGGAGCTAAGATTACCCCAATCACAGTCCCAAACTTCTGAGTATCAATGTTCTTAGGCACATGTGCCTCTTTCAAGACTTTGAGCAATACGTCAAGATGGACCTCAAATGGACAGCATCAATTCTAAAATAGAAATTTTTGCAAGGGTTTTGTTGAGCTATTCAATGATGCTATTCAATGATGCTATACTTACTCTTCCTCAAAATGTTCAGAAATTCTGCAACTTCATTTTTTGACACTAGCTTCTTGGGTGATTTTTCTGGCATCTCTTCAATTCTGATATCTTTTAATTTCAAGGCAGCCCTTCTCAATTCTTCCACTTAGGGATTCATATAGCACCGACCACTACGGGTCATATTAGACACATCATTAGTTGTAGAATTCAAGATGGTAGAGCATTGAGGCATAACCTTAAGTGAGTAAGGAAAATTACTATTGGCCACAGATGATGTCTTTCTTATGAATGACTCACTAAGAGGGGTCTTCAAGACATAAGGTTGTTGTGAATTCTGACTAATGACTTGTGCTTTTTTAGCATCTTGTAGAATGTAAGGCCTCTCTTTGGTGAAGTATTCCTCAGTCACTGGTGCTACAAATTTCTTTGACTTTAGAGTAAATATAAACTTGAAAGATCCCATTCTCTGTAGCTCCGAAAATCTCCACAATTTTGCAAACTATGCCCCTTTCATATTGGAGTGATAAAGACACACCAAAGCATCATCAATCATTACTGGCAGAACATTTGAGCTCATTGATGCAATTGGCTGAATAAGATCATACTCTATCAAAATGGCAAACAATCCATCAAGAGACCAAAAACCGGCATTCTCCGATACGAGTCTATCAACTTCATCAAGGGCAATCATATTCATGGTGGGTGCACCATGTGGAGATAAAGGATTCTGAGTGATGTTTGGAGCACTCTTAGTTTCATCCAGTTGGAGTTTTTCTTCATCGATGAGATCTTGAATTTTATGTGTTAGAGTTGTACAGTATTCGGTACCATGACCTGTTACATTATGATATTCATATTTAGCTTGTGGATCGTACCCGTGCGGATAAGGTGGTTGCATAAGGTTTGCTTGGACTGTCTACATCAAACCCACTGGCACTAACTGTTTCAACACCTCACTATAAGTAATTGGAAGCTTAGTGAACTGTCTTGACCTATTTGTCAAGGGGAATTGCTGTCTAACTGGAGCATGAGCATTTAAGTTTGGCCTCCTTTGAGGGTAAGTGGTAGACTTGAAGGTCAGAGTGTGTTGTAATTGAAGCTGCCAATTGTAAGGAACATTTGCCATGTTATAGACCAGCTTGGCATGACTAGTGAAAATGTGATTCAAAGCTTACTCATCTTTTTTCTTCCTTTTAGCTGAGAACCTCTTCGAAGTAGATCCTGAGCTTCCCATCTTAACTTGCTCTAATTGCCTCTGGATAGTTTGAAAGTCCATAATAATACCTGTCTTTAGTCCATCGTCAATGTATTCACCCACTGTCACTAGCTGAGCAAAAGTATATCCGACACAAGGAGCTAACCATGCACGGAAGGTCTCGGTAGTTAACTTGATAAAAAGAGAGCAAATTTCACTATCGGTAAGAAGTGGGATGACTTTGGCTGCTTCGGATCTCCACCTTTGAGCAAATTCCTTGAAGGTCTCATTACTCTTTTTGGTAATTCTCTACAAGCTATCCCTTGTAGGGGCCAGACTCATATTATACTCATACTGCTTCATAAAATGATGGGAATCAAGATGACAGCATATCTACTACGTCATGTGATACATTATACACCCAAGGAGGTCTAGTCACGCGAGTTAGAGCTAAGAAGATGCGTGAAGTTTTAAATGGCCTTATTGAGCAGATATGGGTTGAAAACAACATACAACAAGAAAATCGAAGCTTGGATGATTATCAAGGCATGGTAAACATCATTCAGGTTCAAGAGAAGCTTAGTTGAGGTCATTGGCACGGAATTATACAGTTTGCGTCAAAATCGCATAGTTCTGCCGCAATTTGTAGCAAACTGATATTTTGTGTTATTTTAGGTTATTTTT